GTTCTCCGCCTCCTCCTCTCTACAGCTTCTCTTTCTCCCTAATCCTTTCTTCTGCCACACGCTTCGGCTCTTTTCCCGCTTCTTCTTTCTTCACCGACATGCTTCTCTCGGCTTCTACAGCTTGCCTCTATATCCCACGAGGAGAAGCTGGTGGAGAAGGAGGAAGAGGAGAAGGGAGAGGGTGGTGGAGGGGGAGAAGCTGGTGGAGAAGGAGGAGGTGGAGAGGCTGGTGGAGAAGGAGGAAGGGGAGAAGGAGGAGAAATGAGCTGGTGGAGGAGGAGGGGGAGAAGATGGTAGAGAATGAGGAAAAGGAGAAGGGAGAAGCTGGTGGAGGAGGAAGGGGAGAAGGGAGAAGCTGGTGGAGAAGGAGGAGGGGGAGAATCTAGTGGAGAAGGAGGAAGGGGAGAAGGGAGGTGGTGGGGAGAGGCTGGTGGAGAAGGAGGAGGGGGAGAAGCTGGTGGAGAACGAGGAAGGGGAGAAGGAGGGGAAGAAGGCAGCTGGTGAAGGAGGAGGGGGAGAAGGGAGAAGTTGGTGGAGAAGGAAGAGGGGGAGAAGCTGGTGGAGGAGGATCAGGGGAGAAGCTGATGGAGAAGGAGGATGGGGATATCACCGGCTCACGCATACACCACTGAGCTGAACTGATTATGACCACTCCTTGATACGTTAACCTAACTGCTCCGCATATGGGCGTATAGTTAGTGTAGCGAGGCGGGAACGTAACTGTTTCGCTGAGTATTTGAGTTTGTTACGGTGGAGCCACCGTAGTGTTAATCACGCGAGTTTCCCACAAGCACTTGCGGCTCTCGCGGCAGATTACTTTGCCATATTTGTGGAACAGCTGTAGTTTTCATCTGGCAGCGAAAGGATGAGTTGAGTCTCGTGGTTATGGTCATTTTGCCAGGCATTATGAACGCGAGCACGTCTTTTATGTTCCCGCCAAGAAGTATGTTTATAGTACAGAGTGAATAGAACAGTTTAAAATAATATGTCTAGCATTTGCGTCCCTAAATGGTACTCGCGAAATGAAGCGAAACGTGAATTACATTGAGCTCAGAATATCGATGTGTACAGTGAACTGAAATTGGTCTGAATGTTATCGTTTATTTAGGAAGGACGGGTGTATCATGCATTTATATAAATGTGTAGACTTATGTATTTGTATAGAGTATGCAGGTAAACTATGTTGGCATACGGGTTTGAAATTATGGTTATTTTTATATATCTTTATTGAGTAAACGTACGGTTTCTAGTACTAGTAGTCGTCAAAAGAGGGGCGTGTTCACACTTGTGGCAGGATGGTAGCCATGTTGGATTTATGTTCGTTATGGTGAATGTGGCATCTAATGCATTTGTAATTGTTCTGTTCTTGCAGATTAAATAAAACCATTTAACGGTTATATATCATTCCAACGGGAGCGTTAAGACGTTTTAGTTTCCTGCCTCTGGAGCGATCCAGTAACGACTGTGTCATACAGGTTAAACCGAGCTCTATGCACAGTGAAACCTAGCTCTCATCAGCGAACACTTGGCTGAGCTAGATAAAATCGATCAGGAGTAAATAAGAACAAAATTTGTTATTATCTACTCCTGATAAAATGTTCATATAACTGGGGTGTTCACATAAATGGTTGGGTGGGGTGGGGTCGGTGTATGCTACATATAGACTGTCGGCTAGCTCCAGGGCTATTTCTTGGATAATTGGACCGGTCACAATAATCTGGCTGTGTCAAACCACTGAACCATACGAACACAGTCAGATCATCTTGATGAGAGTCGACTGGTTCACTGTCTTTTACATTTGATTAACTCATTTCTTTGCTCATAGATTTTTTTATTGTATTCTCACTATTCTTGCTTTCTTT